GTCAGTAGAAATAAAATAAGTTTCTTTAATGTGTGTGGCTTCATCTAATTGGTTCAAGACCTCCATAGAATAAAAAGGAAAGTAAAATGAACTCCTCTACCCAGTCATCTGAACTGACACATTGATCTTTACTGGCCTCTGGACTCAGCTTAACACTTGAGGTTTTCCTGGGTCTCCAGCCTGCTTGCATTTGCACTGCGATCTACAACTCTGGCTTCTGTTGCTCTTAGGTCTTTAAACGTACAAGACACATTAGTCAGATTTCTGCAAGTGTGACAAAGTATGCAAGAAAAATCAACTTCTAAGAAAGAAAGGTTAATTTTCACAGTTTGGGAAGTTTCAGTCTGTCGTCACTTGGCCCTGCTGCTTTGAACCTGTGGCAGGGGAGTACATCATGGCAGAGTAGTTTGGTAAAGCTGGACGGCCCAGCTCAAGATGGCCAGAAATCAGGGCTAGAGAGAGAGAGAGCAGAGAGGCTGGGGTCTCCATATGTGACTTTCAGATCACACCCCCAAGAACCTAACATCTTTCCACTCAGCCTCACCTCCCAAAGGTTCCAGCATTGCCCGCAGCATCACATGGTGAGGGCTAACCCTTCAACGGATGGGCCTTTGGAGGCTGGTCCCGATCTAAACCAAAGAAGTCTGGAAGCTCAGACTGGTACTCCTGGGTGTCCAGTTATCTGACTAAAGAGTTTGGGAGCCGCCAGTTTTTCTGTCATCACTCATTAAAATCATTATTGAGTTTTTTGTGTCAGAATATTGAAGTGGGCTAAAATCAAAGTGTTTTCAGGGCTGCATTCCTCTCTGGAGGCTCTGGAGGAGAATCCGTGTTCTAGATTCTAGAGGTTATCTGCATTCCTTGGCTCACAGCCCCACCTTTCATCTGCAACACCAGAGCTGGCCTGCTGCATCCTTCTCAAACTGCCATCTCTCATGTCATCATCAGCCTCCCCTTTCTCAACCTAAGGCAGCTTATAATTACATTAAATCTATGTGGATAATTCCGGGTACACTCCTTATTTTAAAAAGGCTAGTTAGCAAACTGAATCTCATCTGCAATAGTAATCCTTTGTTATCTTGTAATTTAAGCATTCAGTTTCTAAGGATTAGGACATAGACATCTTTGGGTGGGGAAGCAATATTATTCTGCTTGCTACATTTTCTAGGGAACCTATATTTCCATAGAAAAATAATTCTTATGAAAAGAAGAATTAGACTGTATTTCTGTGATTAAGTATACAAATATTGGCAGAATCTCAACTATCTTAGGAATTCAAAACATAATTGTTGGAGATGCAGGGAAGATAGAAGCCCCCTAGGTAGACCTTGTGAAGATTACAGAACTAACATGAATAAATACTTAGGTGCATGCGTGGAAGTGTCCCTGGGAGACTCCTGTGGGTGAGATGACTTGGAAAAGATCTTGTTATCAGACAGCTGCTTCCCAAACGCTATTTCATTTGGGGAGAGAACGTGGAAGACACCTCAGGAAATTTGAAGTGTGTGAGTGATACTAGGTAGGAAGAAAGTCAAGTACCCAGAACCACGGCTGGCGTTATAGTTGGCCTGGGTCAGAAGTGCTCTATTGGAAGCTGGCAGAGGTGCTTTGCTATGGGGTAGATGATGACGGCCAACAGGACCAACTTGAAGGTTCCAAATAAGCAACTGGACCGTGGAAGTGAGAAAGGCTGAAGTTCCGGAAGAAATCAAACTAACAGGTCTTCCAAGTTTGTTGTATGGTTCAGGCAGTAAGATAAATCCTCCATAGAAGTTCTTATTCTTCTCTACATTTCTTTAACACCCAAGCCATTTTTTCTTTTCGTCTGAAGCAGATGCTTGTTAGTTTATGATGCTCTGATTCTACAGTGGATATCAGCTGTATTTTTTTAAAATTCTATGATTCTAGAAATAAATTTTTTTCCTTAGTGTTATTCATTACATGTAAACAAAGTGTTCCTGAGAATCCAAACAACCAGAGCTTTACATTTTAAATAACTGTGAGAAAATGGATACACACACACACACTCTCTCTCTTTCTCTCTCTAACATGACTTTCTGCTCCCAATGCTAACTTTAAGGATAAGTCACCAAAATGGGATTCTCTCATTTTCTGGGGGCAGAAAACAGAATTTGAAACTCACTCTGAGAGTAGCTTTTTGGTTTAGAATGGGTGACACTGGCATATGATAGACGATGTCTTTTGAATTATTGTAAGAATAAGAGCTTTGGTTTTATGACCAGGAAGTTTTAGTGTGTCATGGATAATGCTGGCTGACATGGTTCAGGACTCTAACATTCTCAATCACAAGGGAACTCTGAAGTCCTAATAAGTTAAGTAGCTGCAGTTTGTGACTTTTTAATCCAAGTTTAAAGTATTATCCTTCAGACTCTGGGTTACACATACAACTTTAAATGTGAGTTCATATTGAGACAATACTGTAAGGAATAAGGCCTGATGTTCTGCTTCAAAATAATCTCTCTCTCTCTCTCTCTCTTTCTGTTTGTGACATAATTTACTCCAAATAATTTTGGATTTATACAAGAGTCCCTGCAGAGTATTCACTCACTCTGTATCATCCCCAAAGTCACTTTGCATAGCATCACACATTCATCGAGGCTGAGTGGTCCCCTAGGAAACCATCACTTGCGCTCTGGCCAACTCTTCGAGTTCACTAATTTTTCTATCATTTCCTTTTCTCTCCCAGGATACCACCTTGCATTTAATTCTGATGCCTCCTGGGCCTTCTCTGCTCTGTGACAGTTTTGGAGTCTTTTTTCCTTTTTTTCACTATCCTGATAGTTTTGAGGGGATTGACTGGGTATTTTATAGATTATTCGTGTCTCAGTATGAGTTTGTCTGATATTTTTCCCATAATAAAACTGGGCAATAATGTGGGAGGGTCAAATAACACAAAAGACAAAACCCCATCCTCCTCACCAGAGTGACGTGATGTCTGTGTGACTTGAATCTGGTGATGTTGCCCGTATCATTTGATTAAGGTCATGGTAGCCACCTGTCTGCATTGTAAGGTGACTATTTCCCCTTCCTTTTGGAAGGGAGAGAGAGCGACTAAGCTTCATTTCCTCCCTATTTGGAATTCAAAATCGTATTTTGATAATATGGTAACATAAGAGTTTTATCCACTGTGGATTTGTATTTTGTGTAGCAAATGCTTATACAGAGGTCTGTCTGGAGTGAAGAGAAAGCACCTAACACTCTGTTGATTCTCGAATCCTTTGTCTGAAACAACCAACAATATTGACCTATGCAAAGTTAGGGTGGAAATAAGTGGAGAGAGATTTGCACATCTTTTTGAATGGATTTTCATCTTTGAATGAAATGAACTGAATTCTAAATACAGAATATAGGAAACTCATTGATTTTAAATCCTGAAGTTGTATGGCCAGCCCACTTCTGTGTCTCAGTTTTAACTGCAGCTACATTTACACTCACTATCCCACCGGAAAGCAGATTCCTGTTTTGACTTCTTCTTTGCCCTCTCTAGGGTGGATGTTAAGAGTTGCACTGCATTCCCTGACTTTCTCAAACTCAGCTGTTGAAGCCCTAACCCCCAGTCCTGCAGACTGTGACCTCGCTTGGAAATCACGGACTAGGCACTAGTCTTGTAGGACGGTGTCCTTACAGAAAGGAGCAGTTTGCATGCAGAGATGTGGAGGGAGAATGTCTTGTGGAGGAGCAGACTGAGATGATGGTGATACTTCCACAAGCCAAGGACACCAAAGATGTCCAGGACCCACCTGATGGTGGGTAAGAAACAGGAAGCAGACCCACTCACCCCCTGTGGGTCACTTTTCTGCCAACACTGTGATCCTGGACTTCTGGCCTCTAGAGCTGTGAAAAAGCAAATTTCTGTAGTCTAATCCATACAGTATGTGGTGCTGTGTTAGGTCATCACTGGGAGACCAGTACAATCAGGTAACTGAAAATGAATTAAGCCAGCCTGATTTTGTGGTGTGAAGCCTAATTGGCCGAAATGCTTTATCTTGTCATTGACTATAGAAAAGACCTAAAATTTCTCATTTACAGTAAACTCTTTTCCATTCAGTGTTCTACTAATTCACTCACGATTTTCCATTGTGTGGATCTAAGTGACACATTGATAACTTCTGACTGTCATGACAGTCTTCGTGTCCCAAAGTCTCCTTCAGTGCCTGACTGCTTGCTGTCTACTGATACTCTAAAGATGAGAAAACACTGCTGACTTTGGCACAAATTCTTATCCACCTTCAAATGGTTGACTCACCCAGCTTTGCCTTCAGATTTGATCATCAATAAGATGAGGTACATATTTTTTTTTCTGATAATGTAGCATCACCTTCTGGGGTAGAATGAATTGTTTTTTTTTTTTTTTTTTTTTGACACTTGAGTTGAGGATGTTGGTACAGCTGAATCAGCCTTATGTCATTCCTCTAATTGACCAAGGCCTCAATAACTGCAGACAACTAGTGGTTTTCACAGTTGAGATTATGACTACCTTTGCATAGCTATAACTGGAACCTGGGGGTCATGGCAAATGCTTTTAATTCACTTAGGGGTTTGAGGATACTTACTTTTATAGGGGAATTAATTAAGTGATGGACTGGAGAGTGAAATGAAAAGGTGGATGATTATATTCATTAAAGAAATTTGACAGTTCCTTCGAAGGCATTAGTATGCGCTAGCATTCTTCCAGGAGAGTTCCACCTTATGTCTTAGGTATGACTGTTAATGATCTATTGAAGGATTGACCAAGTGTTATGTTGATTTAGTGTCTAAAGGAACTGAAATGTGGATGAATGAACAACTCATAGATGGACATGGTCCTCCCCTGCTCTAAAGTTTAATTCAAATGTCATTGCAACAAATGTGTGCAAGGAAACGAGTCTGGATATTTGAATAAGCAAAATGTAATCTTGGCACTTTTGTATACATATATATATATTTAAATAAAGTTGAGTTTATTGAAATTTAAGAATAATTTTTTACAAGTCTGAACAAGAACAGTTTTGGTGACCGAGAGTTGTAGGAAGTGAAGCAAGCTGTTTCCCCCGCTCCTGCAGACACAGGCTGCTCCCAAAGGGAGCGGGGAGCAGGGAGGCAGGGGCGCTGTGTGTAGCGCTGTTTACTCCAGGGTCGGCGTCAGTAGACTGCATGTAACTCAGTTTCTGCAGCATGGATTTTGCTGACTCCTCTGCCTATATTTTATATTAGACTTTTCATTTTTAGAGCAAAAATGTGCATTCATACCCAAATATGCTGATTTCATCTCTTCTTAAAGTTGTATTTTTAAGGAATGAGCTCTAATTTTTCCATTTGACAGGAAATGATGGCAGATCCCAGATCATCTAGAGGGCAGTTCTGGGGCAGCCTCCCACCCTGAGAATGCACAGAACCGTACCCCAGGAGGAGAAGAACGTATCTCAGAAGGAGCTAGGCTGAACCCCCGCCCCCAACAACACAACCAAATAACAACAACAACAAATCCCCAGCAAAACAAGCTAAGCAAACACGAGTAAACAGACAGCATCTGAACAACTGAGCACTAAGGACCCGGAGAACTCAAGGTGGTGGAAATGTCACGTGTCAGAAAAGAAGCAAATGGCACATCCTTGGGTGAGGGCCAGAGAGCAGAACAAACAGAAGTGCCAGGAAAGAAGCAGAGAGAAGAGGGCGGAAAGAGAATAAAATAAATCAAAATAAAATAAAAGAAGGCTGGCCTCATAGAAAGGTACAGGACTGGTGATTGATCGGCTGCAGGCGGAGCTGACAACTTACCCAGGCTATCAGCCACTGGCAGGCAGTGACAGGAGGGAGCTTTTGCCAGTTTCTGCCAGAAGAAAACAGGAAGCATTTTGCTGTGTACAGAGCCACCAGCCTCCACATCTTGGCTCAGGAGTGAGTTACGCCGCAGCAGGAGAAAAGTCACCAGTGCCTCATAATCGTGAGAAGTTTGACTTATGCTTGTATGTTTTACTCCTGAAGGGAAAGAAGGTTTTAATACGTGAGATGTTTTATTTAAAAGTTACAGTTGGACTTAAAGAGTTAAACTCAGTGATCTGGGGAAGTGTTCGCCAGAGCTGTTATTCCTTGAAATACTGGAGAATCGATATGGAAATCGTGATGCCCCTCATCATTAAGGTGAAAAGATTGGAATTAATTTTCACAGAGAAGAGTTGGTGTGAAATTATTGCCAGTGCTGGGGATGTAAATTTCTGCAACATAAATGTTGGAGCATGAACGAAGTAAGAGGGAAGAGGATCTAAAACAGTAATGTATTCATACACACCCGTGTGTCCATGCACACCTGTGCCTGGACGCTCATGAATACTCACACACCAGCACTGCATTCACACACATCTGTACTGTACACACGCACTCCTGCACACACAACTCACATTTGTAGAAGATTCACACATTTGCGCACAAACACAAATGATGATTTGCTTTATTTCATCCTTTACTTCACTCACCTTTTTAAAGAGAAGAGCTATACTCTTTCTGTTGAAGATTTCTAAGTACAAAATCTCCCTAGAAGGTGGAAGGGCCGGTGGGAGGAAAGGCAGCTTGTGTGGTGGAAAGTCTCTGCGGAGGGTGAGCGCTGATAAAGAGCTATTTTATCTGATAGCTGTCAAATGACTCATCCTCTCTCGAATTTCAAGTTGGCTGTAAGCACATTTCCAGGGCTTTTTGCGCTCATGCATTATTGACCAGTACTCCCCTTCTCCGTCCCCCCCCCGGGGGGTGCCGAGTCCTGTGGTGAGCTAATACTTTAGCCAAAGGAAGTCTGCAAGAGGCTGGTATTTCATCAGCCCCTTGAGCAGAATGACTTACAAGTTACTAAACATGCACTAAGGAACCTCACTGCTCCAGGAAGTCTGGGACCTGCAGTTCAAGGCCATCACATTACTGGATCCCCAAAGGAGTGAAGGAGACCCAGGAGACGGGTTTCAAGGAGGAAAGTCAGAGGCCTTGTCGGACAGCCATGGAAGAGAGGTCACCGTGGAGACCCCTGGATTGTGTTCTTTTATCTCACTTTTGAAATGCAGGCGCATATCTAGGATGTCCAACAGCTTGAATGGATAGGCAGACATTTAGACAGTAAACAGGTCAAGAGACCAGAATTGTAATTCCTAAGCTTGGAGACAGCTTTGTGTTTGCTCTGTGACATTTGCTTATATGTGTGTGTGTGTGTGTGTGTGTGTGTGTGTGTGTGGCTTTTTGTGAAAATCCCAGGGTAGGAGAATAAAAGTGATCTGTGCAACACAAGCTGCTTACTGGTCTTTGGGTGCTGAAGAATGTGTGGACATTTCTTGGGCTAATAGGATTTTCTTTTTTCTAGCTGCAATAATTCTGTGGGAATTCCTTTGCAAATTTTGAAGTAAGTCATAGAAGCAAGAAAGTGAGATTTTTCTGTCTTCTTTTTTTCCTCCAAAGAGATAAAAATGAGCCAAATTTAGAGCTAGTTTTGAAAGCACTTTCTCACTTTTTCTAAAGAATCAAGAGTGGAAAATTTAGTGTCAGTGCATTGGATCTTTTAATGTGAGTGAGAAGAGAAAGCAAGCCTGGGCTTATTTTAATTGAGTAGGACGTTGCAAGAAGGTTATCAAGGGACCAGAGGGTCTTTTATTTCAAAATTTATTTTAATGATGTTTGCGGAATCTGAGTTCCCAAGTTGTGGAGTTGGGTGGCCCCATTTGGGGGTGAGGTTTGGTCATGGAGGGGCTGAATTGCAGAACAGGTGGAGAAGGAGGAGGAGGCCAAGTGAGTCTCTGGGGCCAGGAATTCAGCACAAGCTTTTGGAGGAACTCAGGAAGTGCGGTGCAGGGCAGCTAAGTGGTCAGAAATGCCACTCAAGGAGCTGTTACGTGGAATACAGTGGGGAGGAGACCTGAAGGATGTCTGAGCAGATGGTGCTACTTAGGGCTCACAAGTGACCTAAAACTCAGTAGATCCACAAGCACAAAGAAAGCTTAATTTGAGCTCATTCTTGAACATGAAAACACTAAAGAAAGTTAGAATGTAAGCTCACCCAATCAGGAGAAACCAACAAGCTTAGTTCTGTGACGATGGACTTTTCCATAGGGTAACCAAACAAAGCAACTGCATAACTGTAACCAATCAAATGTCTTGGGTGCTTTACTTCCTCGTTTGCATTATTGGCCTCTCTTTTGTGCTCCCTCAGTGGAGCCCTTGAACCTTTTTTGGCTTGGAGTTGTTTGATTCATAATCTACTACTTGCTTGAATAAACTCTCGAATTTTAGTATGCCTCCGTTCACCTTTATTTAACACAGTCAGTCTCCAAGTCAGCAGAGGGAGGACCAATTCTTCTGAGGCTATTTCAGGACAAGCCTCCCGTGTTGCCTTCAGAGTTAGAACCAGGCAAATATGTTATTTTCCACATATGAGCTATGGTGGGTGCTTAAATTAGCAGATCTGCAATGGAGTCATCATTACTGCCAGGCTGCCTCAGGACCCACCAGAGTTATTGAGAAAGAACAGATGCTCACACTGGGTGACTGGTTTTCCCACTCTCTTTCCCAGAGCTCTGGGGCATGCTTGGAGGGAGAAGAAGGAGACTGACTCTTTTTCATCTTGCCTTTATCAGAGCTGCTACATTTAAGGTCATCGGTATTAGGACTGCCCATAAGATTTCCTTTGGCAAAAAGAAAGTAGTTCCTTGGAATAACAAAACATTTGAAAATTACTCACATGCTCTCTTCTCATTTTACAAATGAGAAAACTGAGACCCATAAAGGTCAATTGATTGACCTAAGATTCCATAGTTTGTGGCACAAATTGAATTACGGCTCCACTCTTTTGACCAACAGAGAATTGGTGGTGATTTTACAGGAGAAATAAGATATGGAGAGAAGACCCCATGTGTTGGATGAGCTAGCTCTCATTCTATTTCAAACTGGGAGTACTTACGTGGCATCAGCCACCTATGTTTGCCTTTAATTGTGGTTTAATAATGGCTTAGGAACGTGTGGATTGGATGAGATTAATTGGTTCCTTTTTTCTTATAGCGTTATTATACGTAATTCTAAAGCCTTGTTTTGCTAGCTTGCTCCTTACATAAAAAAAAAAAACCTAAATCAAACTTCTGATTTTAAATAATTCATTTGATGACTCAGATTCAACCAGGTTGTGAGCCTCTTCACATTTTTCAAAACGTCCCTTCGGGAACAAAAGTAATTATGTTTGTTGACTTTAAAAATGTATAGGGATACTTGCTTTCATCTGTTTGCTTTTTCTCTTTAAATCCTCTAATCGACTATATTTGTTGCCTGCAGTTGTATAATATCTACCACCTTTCCCTTTATTTAGTCATTGTTGAGATGTGGGTAACAATGCCCAGCAGCGTTAACAAATCAGAGGAAAGCACAGGAAAATTTTATGCTGGCAATTAATGCCATTTCTGATTTGTGTAGTGTCACGTCTCAGTATTTTTTGGCAAGCATTCTCAAGGCTTGAACTAGCTCTTGTCTTCTAATATTGTCCTAAGTGTTGCAGTTTACAAAAATGAGCAAGATGTGCTTGTTGCCATAGCAAGTATCCCAAAAGAGCTCTGATTTTGACGTTTGGAGCTGCCCGGAGACAAGTCTTCGGGGACATCAGAAAGGAGGAAAGCGTGCTTGTGTGGGTGGGGTCAGAAATGAAGGAAAATAAATGGGTCGCGGATAAACTGCAGAGGGCTCTGCAGCTGAAGAGGGAAATAGAGCCAAGGATTGTGGGTGACAGAGAAGCCAGAAGTCTGAAAGCAAAGCTCTGTGGTGGTTGTGGCATGGGGCGGAAGTCTGGGGTGGTCCGAGTCTGCAGTGGCGCAGTGAAGGGTACGGAACACTCGGTGCCAGTGTATAAGATCAATTATCTATCGTAAGACACAGATATCATTTGTGGTGTTTCCAGGGATGGAAATAGAGAAGAAAACCAACAGCTACTGGATATCCAAATCCATCACCAGTATCAGTGAGAGTTAGAAGTTTGATAGAAGGGATGGATAAAGCTAGAGACCAGAAGTCCCCAAACTGGGGCTTTTATTTCATGGTGGGAGGGATGTGCTTTGGAGGAGAATGAGGAGGTGACAGGGAGCCTCTCCTTCCCATAAGTCTTGTGCTCTGCAGGAGGGGTGAGGGGCTAACCTGGTTTCTCTTCAGCAGGGTGAGTTATGCAAAGTTTAAAGGAAAAGAGTCTATGAATTTTCCATCCAAATCACGGCAAAATTATTAGGTAAGTACTTGCCCAGAAATGATTACTAGGGCCAAAGATGAAGCTCAGAGGCCCTGAACCTGCCTGGCATGTGTGAGGCCCTGAGTTCGATTTCCAGTAAAAAGTACAAAAATAAAGAAAAGAAATGAAAACTGAACATTGCGTAAAGAGCTGTGATGGTTCTCTGGAGTAACTGATCCTAATGACTCAGTGTCTTTTGGCATTTTTCCTGGGCTGCAGAGATGTGAGTTCTTTCTATTTGCAGCAGTTATTTATGTATTAGTGTCTCAAATCTTAGCATTCAAGACTTCAGTTCCATTCCTTTGCCTTCTAGTGAACCATAGTTTCATATCTGTGATTCATGGCTATTTGCTGATTTTACAGGCATTTAGTGAGAACTATTGTGTACTAGATGCTGGAAGAACAAAAGGCAGCATGTCAGAAATGGTCTCCCATTTCAGAGTTTATGGTTGGGGAGGCAGGGAGTCTCATTTTTTAAATCTTATCTTAATCGTAAACTTATAAAACTTGCTTTTTCTCTTTAAACAGCACTATAGTGTACATCTTCAAAGATGAATCTATGGCAAATGTATGTGTATCCACATCAGTAATCCCTAACGACTGTCAGCCGCTGCTTAATGCAACTCACTTAGCTTAATTCTGGAATTAGCAGACTATATTAGATGTTTTATAACCGTGGTCCCTATTCCTTAAGCAATCTGACATTAAGAACCCCTGAGTTATTTTTCTTAGTTTTTGAGTTTTCCCTCTCACTTATTTCCTGCCTTTTTGAAACAATTAAAACTTTGCCTTTCAGCATTGTAATGGATGATACATTGTGTCAAGTTGAGCAGTTTAGAAGCTCAGTCAAGAGACTCAGCATGGGGCCAGGGGCCTCACTCTGTAAGCATCCTCATCCTGTGCAAGGGGAGAACACAGTGTTGGGTGACTGTTACACTGGCCCTAGGGGATGGAAACCTGATACAGCATAAGGGAGGAAGAGTCTTGGTCTCCTCCTTGCTTTTACTGGGTTCTGCCACTTTGAACTTCTGCCAGTGCTCTACATCATACTGTTTTGGAGCCAGCTCATTACGGACTAAAACCTCCACAAACTGTGAGTTAAATAAACCTTTCTTCCCTTAACTTTTAGTGTCGAATATTTTGTCCCGGCAGTGAGAGAAAAGTAATCAACATATTCATTTTCCTGTTTTCTGATTTTGGGTTTCACTTTCTTTACAGTAGTCAATTTAGGCAACTCTCTGTGGCGAGATTCAATTATCTTTATGCCACTTGGCAGAAGTGAACAATTTTTCCTTTTTACAAGAGGAAGATAATTTTCTCACTTCCCAGAAGATGATAAGATAATCAGCTATTTATCTTATTGACAATTTGCATTAATTACCTTCATAGTAAGGGTCTAAGCTGCAATGTTAAAAATTGGGCTAATACTCCAAATGACTTCCATAAAAGGGTCTGTATTTTCTCCAATAATTTATTTTTTTAAAACAAAGAATGATAAAATCAACAAATCTTAAAAATGAAACTAAAAACGGGTTTATGTTTGTGGGTATTTCTCAGTATTAGTTACAAAGTCTGTCAATTCCCATATGGTTAGGCTTATGTGTGAAGCCGAGGGACTATCTAAGAGTAATTTGCCGTTAGAAAATTAAGTCGTAAAGTG